TCCTATGCACAGTACATGTCAAAAATTTAATTCACCCTCATCAACTCTTTCCATATTTTTGTTCATCGTAGGCACTCCCAGCTCCCATTTGAAGGCAAGTGACATAAACACAGTTGTTCAGAAAAATACGTTTTTACATGAAACAGTCTTGACCGGAGGCATTTCAATATTTGGCATTCACTTTATGCTTGTGAGAAAATCGTACGAAAAATAATAATCTTGTGATGAGTTTAGCCATCTTAGAGGGTTCACCAAATTTCTGCTCCCCTATGTTTTCATAATAACATCAATTTTTCCCTCAATTGCAGAAACCGTGGAATTCTAATAACAATGTCCAGCTTGCGAACCACAGATAGATAGAACGCATTCCTCAGCGGAAGCCCACAATGAGTTTATTTTTACATTTCGTAAGTGTTAAGAGACTAAAATAATTGTCAATTCAATTCAATATCAAAAGGCTGCCGATGAATTGGAGAGTAAGGACAAGAAAAGAGGATGGATAGAGCAACAGACAAGCATAGAACGATTTAGAAAGTGATTTGGAATCGATCGGTGCAATACAATGTGGACCTATCTCACGTTTTTGTGGTCGTTGCATATATCCGCACGAAGTTAATATACACCAGTCGATTGGTGTAGGGGATAAAAATGTAAAAGTTAAATAATATTTGTGAGTTTATTTAATTTTGAAAGCGCTCAAAAAGTAATCGAAACTTAATTTTTTATTTCGTTTTGTTCAAACTTTGGTTCAGTTTGTTCTATTACTTTAAGTAAACGCAATGACATTTAATTGGAGCTTCAATGACATCCTCATGAAAATTGAATATAATGAAAACAATTTTTATATATCTAATGGCAATTAATTATTTACTTTAATAATTACTGCGTAAGGATTAATTATGCTTTGCGAAAATATTTAATTAGAAATTTAATAATTAACTAAAGAAATAATCGCTTTAAGACGAATCTTCAGTGACATCCATAATCCGAAGCACGTTATAGAAAGATTTCTAAAAATTACTTATATATACCTAGTAGGAGTTAACAACAGAGATAGGTTTGGTTACTTCGACACTAGGAGTACAGTAGAGTGACCTGTAACATCTTCTTCTTATAAGACGGATTCACTTAATACACCGGCAAAATTGTGACCGTATTCGTATAACGCGCTAGAAGATACTCATGTAACGCGACAAAAGAAAAAGACAGACGATACTATATTACTACGTTTTATCTCCAATAATTTCAATAACGTAACTTTTACAACGCGAATTTATGGAGCACGGAATGTGCCCGTCACGTTCTACGGCGGTCCAAAGTGCCCGAAGTGCGATACTCTCTCTTAAGTTGGGCAATAGCGATCGCATTCTGTCGGTTGGACACATATTTGCTGTGAATTTTTGTGTGACTCTCATAAATACTTATTTTAATATCTATATTGCAGGTAGATTGTACATTGTTAATAATGAAGGTCAAAATTTTCTGATTCCTAGCAGTAGCGACTTTGAAATAAACCAAATTTAATTTTTAAACTGTGTCCAAGTTTTAATTTTCACTTAAAATGTTTATAAAAAAAAAAAAAAAACAAAAAAACAAAGAACAAAAAAATTCTTTTATTAAATTAACCATAAACGTTATTCGACCACATAATCACATTCACGACATGCGTTAAAATTTTCATACAAAAGTTCTTTCAAATACAATGTAAAATGTGTTTATTAAAATTTTATGATTTGCGGTTTCAAAGCGATTTTCTAGAGTTTATTGTATTAATTATTATTAATAAATTTTTAATTAAAATCATGACATACAAAAATATATGCATATCAGTGTCTAGGTAAGAGAAATATTCAAATTATTTTTAATATAAAACATAAGCCGCGAATGCTTCATGTTAAGGCCGTAGGCTAAGCTAACCTAAATTGCACGCGCAAGCAAGAGGAGGTGAAATGTTTATTCCGCGTTTGGATGGTAATGAAAAGATTGATAGTACGTGTTATGCTGTAACAGCTGGACAGGCCATGTATTGATTAGAGATCAAACTGCAACATCAAACAGATGAAAGGGAATAAAGTTTCAATGTTTATTTCGCAAAAAAAAAAAAAAAAAAAAATCTGGTACTCATTCGCACTTAACTCTTACGCGTATCTTGACTGGCATAAAAAATGCCTTTCACATGCTGACTGTGAAGTAGAAAAAAAAAAAGCAAACATTTATTATTTAATTTTTTTTTTTATTTTCAATACACGAACGTATTTCTGCATTGCGGCATAGAATGTACGGTTTTTCGCACGTTTTCTCCTCGTATATCCTCTTTGAGTTTTTTTTTTTTAATCGAAATTGGTTTTAACTTTGGTTGCAGTTGCAACCAAAGGAAAAATTGCAGAAATCAGAGAACAAAAACAAACTACTATGTAAGGTAAGGTAAGCCATCTGACTTAGTTGCTAGTGTTTATGTTTTTCTTAATTAGCAGCATTTATCTCGCAAGTCTCGTCGCAAGTCTACACTATTTGAAATGAGTTAATAATAAATGCAGTAAGAACGTACATAAATAGTTTAAGTGCACGACATCCCTTAATATACAGTTTTCGGGCAATGCTCAGTTATTTCGTTCAACATAAAGAGATTGTTTCGATGGCGCATTACAGGACATAGGACAGAGAAACATGACACACTGCCAATGAATTCTTACGCGAAAAGCTAAGCGCATCTAAAAGGCAACATTTACAAATTTTAGTTAACTTTTGACATTTTCAGATATATCTCATTCATACCATGTTCTTTTACTCGGGATACTTACACAAAATAAGTACACGAATAAGGGAGACTAGTGAAATTTACGCCTGAAACGACCGAATTTTTTCGTGATGAGGCGCATTTTCTTATCGCCTAACGCTGTTAGACTTCTTCCTTAACAATTCGACGAAAAGCAAAATTCTCGTTAAAACTGAAACTGAATCGGACTATACTCTGTGACCCTTGACGGATGAACTGAATAAATGAGCTGCGGATCAGCTACGAGAAGTTATATAAGCTATTTTGGTTATTCACAGCGTGTCCGCATACATGATAATAATTCGTGCCTCATTAGTCTGCTTGCCGAAAGAGGATTTTTAGTGAAAATGGCTTACACGATATCTGGGTTTTGCAAGCAACGTACCAACAAACTACAAACTGCGAGTTGTGACTCAATGCCGCAGACTTGATACGAAGGGCCGATCATGACGGCGTCTTCAAACATAGGGGGAAGAGGCTCAACTACTGCAATAGGTTCGTTGCTAAGGTATGCGAAAAATTATGTACGAAAAGGCTTCAAAAATATTTGTTGCTAATGGAACCAGTTAATACTTATGGGAATCAGCGCAATACATAGGCAAGGGAAATGATTAAAGAGTATATTGGATACTCTAAAAAATATTGACCTTGCAAAACTTTAACTCATAACGTGAATTACTTCCATTAGTACAACGTCATTAGAACAGACATGAAAAAAAAGTGTTAACCATTTCTTTAAGGAGGGGACGAGCAAAACTTGGGCGAAACGAAGATATTAGATTCCAAGTCTCTTATCTATTGTCACAGTGTTTCTTGCAGAGCAAAAATCAACAAGTTTTTCTGTTTACGGCAAAAGGATAAAGGATAAATTGCAAAGCGTAAAATGCTTTCATTTATCGCCTTTGAATAGATGACGAGCTGCCTTTACCTCCTTCTTCCACCATCATAAAGGTTCAGTCCCCAATCATAGGCAATACGTTGAGTTTCGAAATTACTTTACTTTCTCCCATTGCCTCAACACTTGCGAGATTGTCCGTCGTATCGGGTAATGCTTTATATATAAATTATTTCGGCTCCACGAGCTAGTTTATACATATTTGTAAGTCCACCTACTTAGTATGCCTTCTTCTTCAACTTCTTTTATATATATGTGCAAAAGAACCGAGCGGATTCCCTGACGCTAATTATTTCACTAACAAGCGCTTTGCAAGATGTTACTTTCTATTATTTTATAGTCATAACATATGAAACTAATCAGAAATAGAGTCTGAACTTCCACTGTCATCATCATATTTCTTAACCGATTTTTATTCCCCAAAGGACATGTATCCGCTATCGGGAAAAAGTTTTTATCTATACTCTTACTCTCATAATTGGTCTATTTATTATATTTATTATACACGCATCATGTCTGAAGAGAAGATGGCCTCCATCGGCAGGAACCGTTCATCCAATGTTACTAGATTCGAATTAAGATTGGGCAGATAATCGAGGTTATGTATATATCCAAAGAACTAGTTTCTCATACAAAAACACGCCTCGCTTTTTAATGCGATCTCTTTTCCTTAATTATGGTCAGCAAATCAATCATTTAAAAGGTCACGAAGGTGGTAGGAAATCTGTACCGAATCTATATCGAAATACAGTTTCGCAAAAAATTGGAAAAATATTTGCTCAAAATAGATAAGAATTCCTAAAAGATTTTCTGTCTGAAATTCTGATATTTGACTACAGCGACGTTTACAAACCAGTTGAATAAACGAACGTCGTAGCGAAAGCTACAACGACTGCGTGGTAGCAAAAACCAATATTTTGAAGTGACGAAAGCGGTTACAAAGTGATTCATCAAAGGAATATGCACGTTTTGCCCTACGACGGGTCGTATTGAATCATGACGTCACGTTTTGTAAATAGCTTCAAGTGTTTAAACGATTCCATATGCAATTCAATTATTTATTTCTTGATATTTTGCAAACTTTTGCAATATTTTCTACGGTAGACTTTTTTATGTTCTCGCCATACACAGCATGAAATAAATATTTCTTTGATATGTTGTTTTGAAAAATTATTTGTTATACCTATTTATGAAGAGTTTGGATTCATCTGTATATTAAGTTTTAGTTACTTGGTTGCGAGATTATATATAATTTGCGATTTGCTTGCAGAATTAAGAAATATTCATTTAAAGCCCCATAGATAACGGGATTTGTTCAATTTTACTTACCGATCTTTTCATTTCATTGATGAGTACTGCGTGAAAACTATGTGTATTTAGTTTTCAATGTTTCGCTTACTTATTGCCGGTAAGGCATTATTTTAGAGCACCAGGACGCTATTTTGCAACAGAACAATACTACTTCGTATATAATCTGTAAAGAAAGTAATTCCTGTATAAGTATGCTTTTCTTTTTTTTTAATAAGTCAAGAAAAGTTTGAAAATTGTTTTTCTGATTCTTGTTTTCTGCTTCATTTTTGGATATGAATGCTAGTGAATACATGTGTGGCCCGTGCTGTATCGAAATGGTGTTATATGAAACATTTTTATTTTTTTTATTGCAACTAAAATGTCATATAGAATAACATAATTTAAATTTGGATAAAAGATGAATGAAAAAAGACGTGCAACGTGTTCTATTGCGACCGCCTTATAAGATAAGGTAAAGTATACCGTATTGTGTCGAAGGGATGTCTTACAGAATAAACTTTAATGATGATAGCTTTAATTTCATTCGAAGCGAAAAGTAACTTAATTTCAAGTTCATATAAAAAGGAATAATCAAATACAAAGATTAGAAATGTATTGAATAAAAGTAGTGATGACGAGATGAATTTGCACCAAAAATTATCTCTAATCGATTTTTTTCCTCAAAGTTGGGTAAAGCTTCTCTTATTAAAGATGAATTGAAAATAAAAGCAGAAATCAATTCAAAAAAATAAAACACATACGATTTTATGAATGATTTTGAATTTTTATCTCTTTAAAAGATTTAAGGTTTAGCGACTGTCTGTTGTTTGATGACAAATGACAAAAGGATGCCTTAGGATGTTTCCGCGGAAAAAGATTTCGATGAAATGATCTGAAGAAAATCTTGGCAAAGTGCTCTATAGAATGGATATCAAAATTTCAGAAAACCATTGCACTGGTGGAGATTATCATTCTTGTATGCACCGTTCTTGATGCAGCGTTAATGAACTGTGTCAAACAAGCAAGGAATTCTTTTAAAAATTATTGAAGAAAATGCTGAGCGAGTTGAGCTGAAAGTCTCGCTTGATTTCTTAAAATTTTCCATTATATAATTTTTTTTTTTTAATCATTAAAAGATTTTTCAATCCAATCATTTGTAGATTTTTTTTTTTATTTTTTATTTTTTTTTATAACGTAACACTCAATGGCACTCTCCACGCGTAATGCTTTAATCATTCATTAAGGCATAAATGCTTTAAGTATACTATTTTATGTACGCTCTCAAGTTGTTAAATGAAAGAGTAAAAGGAAGGGGGAGAACAAAAGAGCATGTATAGTTAGAGAGATAGAAAAATGAGAGATAAAAGCTTAGTATCCTCTTATTTTTTTTTTCGCAGGTTAAATTTCATGAAAATTTGATGAGGTTTTAAAGTCATAATGCTTAAGAGTTGATTTGCTTAGTAATACATTTTAATTATTCAATAACACTTTCCCAGACAATAGAGGATATCTTCGAGCCGTTTGTTGTTCTTGTGTTGCAACTTAATTTCTTCTATTTTTAATGTTTTTTACATCAGTTTATTTGCCAGATGGGTCTTTGAACTTTTTGTTTGAATTTCTTCCTCAACTTGCACGCTGCTGCGGAAAGCAGCCTAAACACTTGCACGTGTGCGAATATGCGTGCACGGTTTTTTTTTTTTCTCCCCTTTCTAGTTTTAAAAGCCATTCATTTTCTTGATGATTTTTTGAAGCGGATATTAAAAAGCAAACCTTTTAAAGTACTTTTTATTTTTCTTTAACTAAGGTTGAACAATATATACATATATATATATATATATATATATATATATATATATATATATATTAGTGAGAGAAACCCAGAGAAATTCAAGAAGATTCTTTTTGCTGGAATAGTAAAATATTTGCTTAGTGTGGAAGAAAAAAACGGGTCAGGCAAGCATTGAAAAAAATTGTTGGAAAACTGCGGCTTGTGTTGTTTTCTTTCCATTTTTTTTTTTTTTTTTTTTTTTTTTTTGTAAACTTGTTCTCTGGCTTGTTTAAACGCAGTAAAGCAAAATAAAAGCTGGGAAAAACAAAATTCATATGCTTGCACACAATAAAAACTAAAAGCAGAAATGCGGTAAATTGATGTACAAGTAGTGCCAGAGCTGATGTAAAAGAAAACTATTTAAGAAAAAAACATTTTTTTCTTTAAAATCTTAAAATTTCTTAAATCGGATCCATGAAAATTTTACTTTAATTTTAATAAACAATTTTCAACATTTTACACGTTTTCACGATATTTCCAGATCGAGATCTGAAAAGCGTATTCATCGCTATTGGCCTTTTGTCGTACATTCGTTGTAGTTTATTTTTTTTTCTTTTTTTTTTTTCTACATTCCAACTTACGGATGTCTATCCATAGGGAAGAATGATTCCGAAATCGGTTTCGCTTAACGCCATCACTTTGCTCGCCAGTTTGTAATGGGGATCATAATAACGGCTTTAGTCGCCAAAGAATAAAGCAGCTTGGGCAAGAATTTGAATCCTTTTTGCCGCTTGAAAACAACTGCCTTTAAAGTGCAAGAGGCGAGAAGAGTAGTACGCATTTTCGCGTATGCGTTAATAATGAAAATCTGATTTTATTGACCCAGTGTAGCTGCGAAGGTGTAGCAAGCGTAATGGTGTGAAAAAAACCCTAAGAGGAATAACAACCGACAACTCTGTCAGAAAATCATCCCTTTCTATTACGTGTGGATATTTTGAAACTTCTAGAATATGGAGAAAAATTTGTTGCAGGAACGACAGTTTTCCCTTAAGATTTCGAGGTCTTCTCCAGCCGCACCAAAAAAGTTATCCATGTCGTATACGGATCCCAGGTAACATGTTATAGCTTAACCTCTTCTGTCCGTTGATTTCCAAGTTTTCTAAGTTTTTTCTTTAAGTCTTTAGAAGCTTTATATTTACTTAAACAAAAAAAATACATTAGCATAACTTTATCGATACGAGCGTTGAATGGTTGTAAAGCTAAGAGTACTTGGAAAGAGTTTCGTGCTTCCGCCAGGCATTACAAAGTTTTGATGGATGGACTTTGATTGATGTTAATTGATGTTAGTATGGGTTTGACTACGGAACTGTAAAGTTTTGTGTCATTTTCACTGTCATTTCACCGAATGAGAATTGTACAATGAGCGATTCTGTCTTTGACAAAGGCGACAAACGCAGCATCAAAGAAAGAGAATAAAAACAAATATTTGAAAATGGAAAGTTAGCTTTGCAAAACTTGGTTAGCGGCCTAATGGTAAAAATTAATAACAAAACTTTTATAATAAAAAAAGATGTCTAGGAATATGATGCTCCAACACAGCCGGCAGCCTAACACCGTATATCTACCAATATATATACATATATAATGTATATGTTATCGTATCATATATGATATCATATATTTAACCATTTCTTTAATATAACATTTTAAAGAGCAGTACGCAAAGAATTTTGAATAAGTTAATAGTTTAGGTACAATTGATTATAACGTCATTGCTTCCATTGGTCAAAAATGAAAATTTGTTGCTCAAACGCTCGCTTACCGCATTACCAATCTACCACCACTCTAGTGAAGTGTAACTATTAGGAGAGAGCCAGAGTAAGTTTACAGAGGGCATCTCGATAACAAATTAAAAATCAGTTTAAAAAATGACGTCGGCAGGACACGGGTCTTTAATAGAAAACTTTTATCAGTGCTAACCGAATCTGATGAAGAAATTAGATTACGAATCTCAGTTTTTTTCCGTTTTTACGGAGGACCCTAACTGGATTAAAAGTTCATAGTTGAACCCGCAATGACTAAGTTTCACAAAAAGCGGATTGACTGTCGGACGGATGGGAACCTTATCAAGTTAAGCTCGTTTAATAAATGACATTATCATTTATTATGATGGCATTTTTTAATACTCTGCGAAAGTAATTTTTTTTAATACTTCACTTTCGTAAATTCTTCAAATATTATTCTGCTTTCAAGTTCCATCAACGAAGATTGCTTTTTTAGCTTGTGAGATGGCTGATCCCTCTTACATCGTTTATATTATTTGAAAAGTAACAACTGCTCTTTACGATGACGAAGGTAGTAAAATTCAGATTTTCAGAAAGGTGTGAAAAGTTATGAAGGTCAAATAAAAAATAAGAGACAATAGTAAGAATAATAAGTGGAATGATGCTAAAATATTCCGTGAAGTAACCTTTCCATTTTTTAATTGCAAGATATGCTGATAAAAGTTTAAAGTAACAGTTTCCGTCTTTAAGTTTTCCTAACTCCAAAATGTAAGGGGTTTACTCTCACATTTGCAGAGTCATTTAGCTAATCAAAGTTTTTGTATCAATTTTGTCGCAGTTCACGTTGCCATCCAGTCGACACATATCTGGATAACCGTTGACGCGGCAAGGCAGTTTGTTCCTTTGCTCTTTGTCATATTCATTTACAAACTAATATATATATATATATATAAATAAGTAGAAATAAAAATGCATAAATATCAAAAAGCTGTTTCTTTCCAAGGATGTCTGTATACGTCTTGTTACAAATGTTCGCATCTCTTTCTAACATTTTTTTCACCAATTTGAAGAGAAAATTATTAATAATTCTAAAGGATATCATCGTCATTTTATGGCAAAAAATTCCCAATTTAACTCAATCAACGAACGTCAAATCGCTTTGGAATATTTTAAATTTCCTTATTCCATTTGGACTTCACATAACGAACCCTTATGCGCAAGCAGCAAAGAGGATAACAAGTTAGCAACTTTGCTTGATAAATTGTTCAGGCTGGCAGCAAACCAATGACTCGTTCCTTTGATTGCTGCAAACAACGTTAGTCGTTAGTCGTTTTATTTTTGTCGGTAAAACAATTCTATGCTCTTTTTGCTCAAAAATTTAACCTGTCTGTCTTTCTGTCGTTTTTCAGTTTTGGTGCACAAGGATATTGTTTTCAATGCATTTGAAGTGAATTCATATGACAACTTGATTACAAGCATCCTTTACCTTTTCTCGTTTTCTGTCGGATTTATCAATGAAAAGTTTAAAAAGAGAAATAAATATAAAGAAAAACCTTTTTAAGCCTAGACAGATATATAAAAAAGATTAACTAGAATACATATATATTAAAAAAAAGATCGTGAAA